CCCGGCCCGTCTGGGGGCGGGCTCCGGGAATGGGGGGTCGGGGCGAGTTCATCCTATCCGCTGGGAGCCCCGGGCGCCCGGGCTGAGAGCGCAGAGGGCGGGGGGGCGCCGGGCCCGCGGGGGGGCCCGGGACTCCCCACCCGGCCACCCTCCCCTCCCCCCACCGTGGCCCGCAAGGGGCCGGGGCCCACCTTCACCGCACCCAGGTTTTTAGGGCCAGGCCTTTACTTGGGTGTAAATTATCAGTCGCCCCCTTCCATGAAACCCCCTTAGGGGCAGGGGCCGTCGAGCCCCCTGGTGGGGTGGTCTTCGCTCTCGTGGCTTCCAGGTTGTGGGGGTTGGAAATGTGGGGACAGGCACCCACCTCTACTCCTCCCCTTCAGCGAGAGGGTGTGGTGGGGGTGGGGGAGATGGGGGCCCAGCCCGAGCACAGCTGGACAGGCCTGTTAGCGGGGACAGGGCCCTGCACCTCTCCTTTCCCACTCCCCCTTCGGTTTCTTGCCTTGTCCCCCAAGAATGGGGCTTCATCGGGCCGGGACCCCGTGGTCAGAGGTGGGGAGTTGAGCTCTGCCTGGACGTTAGCCCTCACTGCCAGCCTCCTTCCCAGTGTTGTGCAGAAGAGAGAAATAAGGTCAAACAAACTTTCTCCCTACTCACGACGCCCTCCCTCTTTCCTGCTAAAATAATAATTCAGATAAGTGGCGTGTTTGTGTGTGAGACTTGCTCTTCCCTCTCTGCTCATTAGCTGAGCTCCTGATGGATGGTGGTGGGAATGGCCTGGCTAAATGAGGCCACTTCGCTGGAGAGAGACAGGGGAGCTGCGGAGATAGACAATAAAAATGGGGCTCTGCCTCTCAATTAAACACACAGTGGGAAGTTTCCAGTGAATCTATTAGATGAGAGGAAAAGCCGCATTTGAAAATTTTTTATCCTTTTTTGTTGAAAATCTGCGGGTGGGGTCTTTAAAACACGACACTAAGTGGATCAGGATTAAATTTGGTAAAAAGAGTATAAAAAAGGTTCTGAGGGCACCTCCAGCGAGCTGGCCCTCAGAGAGGGGCCCCGTGGCACCTTTTCTCCCACCTCCTCTTCCTAGATACAGCTGAGGGAAAGTTAGTCAAAGTGCTCCTGTTACCTGCTCTGCTCACCTGATTTTTTTTTTTTTTTTTAAGTTTGTGATTGGATGAACTTTGGGCTGCTAATGCTTTCAAGATGCTCAGAATTTGTCTTAGGTTAATAGTTTTATGTGAGAAACCTACTTCAGGGCAAATTGGAGGGAAATGATGTGGAAGCAGTCACAGCATGAAAGACGCGTGCTTAGTCAGTCTTGACTGTAAAGGAATGAGAAGAGTTGTGTCTTGTTTATTATTAAAAAAATGACATGTGTGGGACAAAAGTCTAGTAGAAGCTGGTAAAACATGAAATGAAATGCAAATGCCAGGAAAATAAGGGTCTGTGAATAGTAGGCACATGAGGATATATTAAGGTTGCATTACTAAGCTTTTACCAGTGAGTGAATTACATGCTTCATTTTGAATGTGAAGTGCCTAATATAGAAAGTCATAAATTGACAAATGTGAACGTTCTGTTGAAAAGATTAAGCTCTTTACTTCCTTTAATTACAGATTATGTCTACTTTGAGAATTCCTCCAGCAACCCATACCTAATCAGGAGGATAGAAGAGCTCAACAAGGTATATACATTGAGTATTCTTGATTTTAATGTTAAAAGATATTTTTCTTTTGAAAGGTAATTAGGTAAAGGACTTAAGAGTTGATTTTACTTTCGGTTCCAGACTCTTTGAAAGTAGAGTTTTCAGATTTAAGAGTTATTTATACAGGATTCTGAAATTTTTTTTTTTAATTGTTGTCAATTACCTCTGTTACTAAATATTTTTGTGGACTTAATATCTGTACATTTCTTCAAATTGCTTAGAAACTCGTAAAACTGACCACTTCTGCTGTGAATCAGTCCTTTTCAATATTTAGAGTCATAATTTGTATTTCTTTTTTAGTGAACTAAGTTTTTGTCCTCTTCCAGCTTTAGGCATAATCAGCTAAGGAAAACAGCATTGAAGGGAATTTGTAAAATTCTGGAGTAGGCTAACCAGGTAGAATACACTTTTGGCATAATATAAAGTGACTTTGCCCTTTGGGCCCAAGTAAATAAAACTTTTATATTAAGGTTTGTTCCTGATTCCCGGTGTCCAGGAATTGGACATCAGAAGTACAGTGGCTTTTGCAAAAGGTGAGCTTTTATGAAGGAGGAGCTTGAAAATAGTCATAAACTACACGGACCATAGGTTTCTGGTGATGCTTTGGTTTCCTCCAAACTGATCTGAGGGTTATTTGTGTAGCTTATGAGCGCTCATGGCATTAAATTCTTTAGGGTTAGTCTCAAAAAGCCAGGACTGTCCTGTGACTGAAATTTCAGGCTTAAAAAGGCTTTGAGATCTAGGTTTGTTTCTGGGCAGATCCCAGAGACCATGCATGCAGGAAAAATCCTGTTGTACTTGATACCATCATCAAAGGAAGAAAATGGCCTAGATCAGTCTATGGGGGTGTAACTGTTGGGGCTTCTCTTTTATGTTTTAAAGTAAAGTATCTCTAAATGTTATCTACATCAGTTTATTTAGAATATTAATTGGGCAGTGATTCCCTATGAGATATATTCCTTGGCTGCTGTTGGTTTTGGTCATTTTGAGTGCAAGCACGATGGATGCTTCACTTTCTCATATGCACCCTCCTTCAGACTAGTTAACTAGTCCAGCTTGCCCCTCACCCTCCACTTACTTTTTCTTCCACATCATACTTGATGACACTTTTTAAAAAGATTTATTAATTAATGCATACAGAAAGGGGGTACAGGCCAGAGGTGCAGGAGGTGAGAGGATTTACCAGAGACAGTGGGGAGCAGAACAGGCAGATCCACTGAAATACACTGCTGAGGGGAGCAGTGGACAAAATAGGGAGAGTGGGCTATCTCCCTGGCCAGGGATCGAACTCGTGCTGTAGTAGCTGCAGATAGCTTCAGTGCTTGTGCTTTAATTCATTGCGCCACCAGGGAGGGCCCTGTACTTAATAATACTTAATTACTGTGTTTATTGCCTGTTTTCCCAAACTGGAATGCGAGCTCTATATATGTAGTGATTTTTTTCTATTCACTGTTGCATCCTAAATGTTTTAGAACAGTGATTGGTATGTAGTTAAGGCATTCAGTAAGTATTTGTTGAATTAACAGATTTCTCAAATATCTGATATTAATACTTAGACCTATCTTTACTGTTTACAAAATACTTTGGTTCACTCATTTTGCAAATATTTCTGAGAACTTGTTACCCGCTAGTACTTTTAGATACGTACTTTTCGGAATTCAAGGATAAAGAAAAATAGGTCTAATAGTGGAAACAGACATCAGCCAAGTAATCCCACAAATAAAAGGAAAATTGTAGCTGTGCTAAATTTATAAATGGACCTCTGAAAGCATGCTTTCTGCTTGAGTCTCTTGGCGTTCACAGTCTTAAACCTTTAAGGTAGATTCATCATGGATTCTTGTGAGGTACTACTTACATAGTAGTTTAATGATGGGGTTAACACATCTCTCTTGAATCTGAATCATTTCACACGCCTTTATCATCACATTACCATTTCTTTTCAGAGCATAACCAGCACCCCCTTTTCTTTCTCTCTGACCAGTGTGCTTTCAGCAAAGAGTCATTAATGTAATATTGGTCCTTTGGAGGTTGGGGATGAGGAACTGTAAGAAACTAGATTGTCTACAATTTCAGCGCATGGCAGTTTGAATAGATGGGGTATTGGTAAATAAATGAGTTTGACTTGTTAAAGTCTAAATACATACCTAGGGCTTTTGTTTGTGAAGGGATGTGGAAAAAACACCTCATTTTCAATAATTAATTAAAAGGTATTTATTGAGCACTTACTGTATATACCGGGGACTCCGTGAGGCTTGGAGATAAAATAATGAACAATATGGTTTCTGCCATCACAGTGTTTGTGTTCTTTATGAAAAGAAGGGCAGGCAGAAAGAAAATAATCATACATGGTATTTACTTTGAAGAAGGAAGTAAGCATGAGCTTTGACATAGAAAAGAACAGAGGTTTCTTCCTTTGGACAGGAATGGAAAGGACTGTAAGACATGACAGTTGAGGTCTGATTACAGTGAGGGAAGAGTCCACAAGAGTGATCTAGATAAAGAACATCACCATGAATTGGCAACATCAGCGGCAAAGTAGGGAAAGTTAAATGTTTGGAATAGTCAAACAATGAATTTAAGAACGTTTGATATATTCTGATTGATTAGCTAGGAGAAAAAGAGACAGTGACCCATCTTTTAAATAGAATGAGATAAAATCCCTAGGATACGATGCAGTCATTTTTTGTAGAAACTTTACATTTATAGAATGGGCCTTGATGTTATTTGCTCTGTTTGAAAGCTGGTCTGCAGTATTCTTTGTTTTGTTTCTTAATTGTAGCAATAAATTTCCTTGTCTAAATTTTTTTCCTTAACAGTTTGAGAATTTTTAGGGGCAAAAGTATCAGTTGGTGAACACAGTTCAACATTGTTTATCTTCTATTCCCATTTTTTTTTTTCCCTCTAATTTTTGCTCAGGTATAGTCAAGATGTGCTTTTGAAGGAAGAATAGGTTAAAGTAGAAAACAACTTTTTGGTAAATTTTACTTAGTTACTACCTAGATTGAGACAGCGTTGTGCACATAATCATGCAGTCTGGAAGTTTTGGAAGTTATACATATGGATAAGTTGGTGTGTTATTTTGATGTAGATATTATATACCTTATTGTACACATTCTCCTTATTTTATAAGCTAATTTGCTCTGAGATTCATTTTAATGCTCAGGGTCTCTATTTTTCTGATGGGAAAGGGAGTCATTAATTTGAGCATCTGACTACCATCCACTCCCTCAATCTCCATTTTGTATGTACAACATTTTGCACATAAATTCAGCAGATTCCCTTAAAACCCTATATGGAAATCAGGACCCCCTCCTGCCATTTGGAATCTGTTGGGAATAGACAAAAATTGAGAAAGGAAAGTCCCTTTCCACTTGTCCATTAGTTTGGGTTAAACCATGAGCTGTCTGAAGTAGAAAGTGTCTTTTTTCTTAAAGATTTATTTATGCATACAGAACTGGGGTACAGGCTAGCTGTATGGCGGTGGGATGAAAGGATTCACCAGAGACAATTGGGGGGGCAGAACAAGCAAATTGTGTGAAACACACTACAGTAGAGAAAGAGGAGAGGTCTGCTGGACCATGTGGGTCAGCTCCCTGGCTGGAAATCGAACTTGTGCTGCAGTGGCCATGGATAGCTTCATAGCGTGCCACTTAACCCCTTGGGCCACCAGGGAGGCCCTGGGAAATGTTTCTTTAAATACAGTCTGAGTCTAGGATAGAAACAGCCGTGAATATGAGGTTGTCTAGAACTTAGGAAATGTCCCTTATATTTTAATAAAAAATGTTTGTCAGAATAGGGACTTAAGAGACTGCAACCTAAATGGAGAAAAGAACACCGGAAAGAAGTGTTTATTGTGGGTTCTTTATGCACATCTTCACTTTTCCCACCTGTGGGTTTTTTGCCCACGCTAAAACTTACTTGGTGCTCTTGTCTTTATCTGTTGTACTCATGCTTTTTTTCCTAGCTAAGGACCCTCTGCCCAGTTCCTCCTCCAGAAACCTTTCCTACCCTTCCCCCAACAGCTTGTTTCTTCCTCCTTGAGTGAGAAGCGAAGTCTGGAGTGGCGGTGGGGTGGTAGAAAGGTAGCAGGAAGGGAAAACAGGCTAGGAAAAATTGACATCAGTGTCTTAGCTTTGAAATCGGATGATGGACATGATTGCAATTAGACTTTGAAAGGTTGGAGAGGTAATTTGGAACAGGTATCCACACAGGAGTGGAGGTTTGAGGGTGGCCACTCTTTTCCCCTGTGCTTAGCTGAGTGCTTGGTACATAGGAAGGGCTCAAAAGGAATTTGATGAGTTGAAATAAGAACCAGACTTTATGTGTACCAAATATTTAACTCAGATTTTTAAAGCAGTGCTTCCCAAGTTATTTGTGATGGATTAAAAAAAAAAAAACAAACCACTATCTCTAACTACTTTCATACAATTTAACAAATGATTTATTTTATTTATTTATACACTCAAGAACTGGAGTGGAGGTCAGAGGATTCACCAGAGACAGTGGGGAGCAGAACAGGTGGACAAACTACTGAAATACACTGCTGAGGGGAGCATAGGGCAAGATAGGAGAGGTCTCCTACCCCATGTGGATCAGCTTCCTGGCGGGGATCAGACTCAGGCCACTGTGGCATTAGCTGGCTATAGCTTGATAGTGCTGAGATTTTAACTCTTGTGCCAACGGGGAGGGCCTACATTTGTAAAATTAAAAAAAAAAAAATGTGAGTCTTATGAATATACAAAGCCTCTATTTTTTACTACTAGATTTAATAGATAGAAAATTAACTCTCAAATTAAATATGCTTAATCTCTTCACTTTAGTAGCTGTTGTAAACTTAGACTGTAATTTGAATAAATCAGATTTTGAGGAATGCTGGAAAAGGAGGTATTTGTGGAGTGTGTGTGTGTTGTAGAAGGCAAGAGAAATACTGCAGTTGTAAACTAACCAGTGACCAAGTGTGTACATGATCCAGAGGAGAGTGTTTATTTTGAATTATGCCCTTCCACCCTAACAAGTTTAATAAAGAATTTAATTGGCTTTCTAGAGTATTCCTGTTGGAGGAACTCACAAGGCAGAAAAAAATCTGCTTTGTAACTTGGCTTTGAATTTTTAACATGCTTTTGTCATAAAGTGATAAAGAGCTTATAGTTGAAGTCATTGATATATTTTATTTACATGGAAATATATTGGCCTGTTCATTTACCAGATTGCTGGATCATTGCTTCTGGAAGATGTATTTGATCACAGTTTTGTGAAATATAGAAGTACTTTGGCTAGGATTTAATATGATTTCAATTTTAAGGGGTAATATTTCTTCAAGACTGCTTTTCATTCTAAAATATTGCTGCTGAACTTCATAAAATTGACAAATTTACCCCAGCACATATATATTCTGCTTTCTTTATGATTGAATATATGTATCTGTAAGTCCAGAGAAATTCTGAAATTTTGTTCTCAAATTTGTTTGAAATGGCAAATGACAATAACATTTTATTGCAATCTTTGTATTTTTAAAGAAACTTTATAATGAATGATTGACCTTGAAAGCTTTCAGAATTCAGAAAGTATAGCGAATAGGAGCCAGAACCCCAGGTGCAGTAAATTACAAGCTAACTGACTATTGATCATATTCTAGACTGGAGTAAAAAAGAAATCAGAGCTTCATTGTTCATAACTCAAGGTTTTTAATACTTTTCATATGTGAAGGTAGATTGAATGCTACTAAGAATATTCACTTTTATGGATTCGTAGACTCCCCTGGGCTAAAGGATGCTTTGCCAAGTCCTCTGGTCCTTTCTAGCCTATAAGACCTGCCTCACGCCTCCAAAGCTCCCCGCCGCTGAGCCACACGGGTGTCTAGGTGATAACTTGACTGGCTTTACTTTCAGCCTGTGCTTCTTGGAGTAGGTTTAGAGCAGCTCTGTTTAACTGTCTTAAATAAATTATGGTGTGGCTTAAAAAAAATTTTGGAATTAGTTTCTTAAGGCAAATTAGATTTAACTCTGTCTGGCTTTAGTCATTAAAGTGGTCTCATCACTTTGGTTTAATTAATACCAGTGTGTTATTCTATGTTTGACATTTCAGTTTCACTTGGAACCTTAACAAATGTTGCTCATTTTTATTTGAATTTTTCAGCTCTGTGATTACCCTATAGTTGTTGGGGCACAGTGTAAATGCAGGTACTTATAATTGGGCTGTGTCTAGCTTTGTATTACAAACTCTTTAAAATCAGTTACAGATGACTTATTTTTCTTATTTCTTAGACTGCAACTGGCAACGTGGAAGCAAAAGTAGTGTGCTTTTACAGACGACGGGATATTTCCAACACGCTTATAATGCTTGCAGACAAGCATGCTAGTAAGTTAATTGTCTTTTTCTTGGATTAACAAAAAAAGTTTGTTTGCTATTACAGGAGGAAAATACTTTTTGTTAGTTCTAGCTTTGTTTTTTCTCATTTGTCTTCCTCTTAGTTTAGTTGACAGTAAAATTTTGAGTGGTGTTTGGTTATTAGTATGCATCATTTTAGTCTGCATTATGTAGTTATTAATTGGTCAGAGAGGGCAGTGTTTGGTCATCTCCCATTTTAAGGGTAACTTGAAGGTACTGATATGAGGAAATTTATACCTCACTGGTATTTTTTTGAAGGACTTTTTCCCTCTAAAATTGACTGGCTAATATTTGCATTTAAAATATTTTTGGTATTTGTAATATTGGGTGAGTAGGAAAGAAAAAGTTTGCAAGATAAAGAGTGCACAGTAATATTTAGATATGTAGAATTCCTGTAGATAGCAACTCCCAGCACTTTTTTGTAGTTTCTTTTTTAAAGATTCATTTACTTATGCATGCAGATTGGGGCACAGGCCAGATGTGCAGGGGTGGTGAGAGGAGTCACCAGAGACAGTGGGGAGCCAAACAGGCAGATTGAGGACAGTGGGGAGCCAAACAGGCAGATTGAGGAAGAGAGGAGCAGCAGGCAAGACAGGAGAGGTTTGCTGCACCCTATGGGTCACCTCCAGCGCTGGGGATTGAACTCTCATTGCAGCCGCTGCAGCTTGCTTGCAGTGCTGAGCCCTAACCTGTTGTGCCACCAGGGAAGGCCTGTAGTTTCTTTTTTTAATTACAAAAAATTTAAATGTCTTTGTCTCATAGTTTAAATTTTTCCCCAATCTGTAACTTTCACATATTTTAGCCACCTTGACTTTTTTTTTAAATGACAAACACAATTAAAAAGTGATTTAAAATTTAAAAAGGCATATGTTGAATTTCAGTACCTTGTTTTAGAGCCTTCTGTTCTGCAAAATATGTAACAGTAAGCCCATAGATATGTGTGTGTAGCTTTTTTTTTTAAAGTTTGAAACAGGGATTTGTAACATTGGTTTGGACATCCTGATGATTTTGGTAATGGGATAAAAGAGGCTGTGCAGGTTTGTTCTGTGTCTTCTTGTCTTCTTGAGACTTATTTCCCTATTGTGTTGCCATTTAACCAGACGATGGATTGTCTAATAAATCGAATTCATTCTGTATTTTCTCCTGTAGTTTATAGTTGCGTTCAGTATTTTTCTATTTTTGTATAGAAGGTATTCATTATATGTGTTCTGTAATATTTATAGATTACATATTGATAGATTTGGGGCATTCATATTTGTTCCTTGTGTGTGAGACCAAAATACTGCTTTTTCAAATGACGCACATAATAGTTATTTTAGCTATAACCAAAATCTATGAATTCATTGTTATTCAAGTGTAAGCAAAATTATTTGCATTTTATTTACTATCTACTATTTTAAGCTTAGGAAAGATAAAGCATCTCATTTATATTCATATACTTTTGGAGTTAATTTAGCTTCCAAAGTTGTTGCTACAAAGGTAGTGAGGTGTGAAGATTGTTAAGGGGTTGCTGATTGGGGAAGTTTACAGCATGCCTGCATGTTGGTGCTACTTTAGGCTTTTATATGCAGAAAATCGGGTTTTTTAAAATTGATCAGCCTCTTGGTATTGACTCATGAAAACCAGATTTTAAGAAATTTATAATCAGATTATATGGTGGTAATCACACATTTTAGAGAAAGACTTAGTTCAGATTCTGGTTTGCTACTTATACATTCCTTGGGAAAATGTCTTCTCACTCATCTTTGTTTTCCTCATTTTTAAAATGAGATTGAAAAAAAAATCACCATTTTATGTCACATATTTTTTACCACACATACAAATTTACTCCAGTCTTTTTGTTTTTAAAGAAGGTTTATTTATTTATGCATACAGAACAGGGATACAGGCCACAGGTGCAGGGGCAGAGAGAAGATTCACCAAAGACAGAGTGGGGAGCAGAACAGACAGATTGACAGAAAAGTACACTGCTGAGGGGAGCAGTGGGTGAGACCAGAGAGGTCTGCTGTGCCATGTGGGTCACCTTCCTGGCTGTGGATCAAACTTGTACTGAAGTGGCTGTGGCTAGCTTTGCACTGCAATGCCTTAATCTCTTGTACCACCAGGGAGGGCCCACCAGTCTTTTTTTTTCTTTTTAAATATTTATTTTACTCATGCCTACAAGAGTTGGGGTATAGGCCAGATGTACGAGGCTGAGAGACAGAATGGGGAGCAGAAACAGGCAGATCTACTGAGATACGCTGCTGAGGGGAGCAGTGGGAGAGACAGAAGAGATCTGCTGTGCCATGTGGGTCAGTCCCTGGTGGGGGAATGGGACTCATGCTGCAGGGGCTGTCCATAGCTTCATAATTGAAGCTGAGATTTACCCAACTCCATTCTTCATGTAAGGATTAAATAAATGCCTTAAGGAGCAACTCATAGTGGGGGCTTCACAATGGCTGCTGGCTTTTCTGTCTCCTCAGTGATTTGTAGACTATCTTTGAGTGATTATCTTGATCTATGTTTACCTGTTTTCATTCATTACTTATTGATTTTACTCTCAAAGATAACTGTAACTGTAGGTACAGCACAGTTGGAATCTTAAGGTGGAGAGAAGAAATCAAGTTGTTTGCTGCTGAATGAAGAGAATTTAAGATTGATTAAGTGGAGAGTTTTCTATATTAGAAAGATTTCCTGGAGTCCTGGTTGTGGGTGCCACATAATTTTCTTCATTCTTAGTTTCTACATTGAAAAAACTCTCTTACAGGCTCTTTGAAAACATTTTATTATGGACAACTTCACAGATACAAAAGGACAAAGAGTAGCATGATACACCTGAGTTTTCCATTATTCTGCTTTAACAATCGTCAGTACATGCCCAATTGTGTTTCTTCTAGACCTACTCACTGCACCATTATTTTGAAACTCATCACAGTAGTGTTAACAATTCTTTTTTTTTTTTTCCCACTTTGAGCAAAGTACCTTCTCCATTCACCACAAACTCAGACCCAAAGTAATTAAATAAATTCTTATTGCCTTAACAATCAGCCCCAGTCCTTTTTATAGGACATTACTTGAAAAATGTACACCAATTACACAAAACCTGTTTAAGGACTCTTATTTTGCCCAGTAAAATATAGGAACTCTGTTTCAGCAAAGGATTTGTTTTGCTGCACCCAAAGGTAATCTGAGAACCAAAGATAAGAAATCTTAACATTTTTGTCTGTGAATATTTCAATATGTATTTCTAAAAGATAAGGCTTCATTCACATTTACAGAAAGTGCCAAGAATATACAAAGAACTCCCATGTGCCCTTTACCAGAGTTAGCATGAACATTTACTGTTGATTTTATCCTCTTACTTTTTTATATTTAAGGTATACACACACACACACACACAGTTACATATACATATGTAAAGATTTATTTAGGCATACAAGAACTGGGGTACAAGTCAGACGTGTGGGGGGGGAGGGAGGGTGAGAAGATTCACGAGAGATAGTGGGGAGCAGAATAAGTAGATGTACTGAAAAACATGGCTGAGGGAGCAGTGGGCTGGTTAGGAGAGGCCTGCAACGCCATGTGGGTCACTTCCCTGGCCAAGAATCAAGCTCATGCTGAAGTGGCTGCAGCTAGCTTCATAGTGCGGTGCTTGAACCCATTGTGCAACCAGAGAGGGCCCTATTTAAGATATTTTAATGAAAATGTTTTTTCACCATTGTTAAATAAAAATGATTTGCGTGTTTTAATCTGCTTTTATTAAGACTTAATTGCCCTGTAGCCCTGAAAGCTTAGGGGCCACACCACTCATAATCCCTGTGCTTCTGAGCTCAAGCTAGCATGTTCTCCCCTGGAAGTCCTTGTGGCAAATTGCAGGGCTGGATTTTTATCAGATGTTGAACTGCTTTTAGATTTGCCTTCACTGGAGGGGTATTATGCACTTGGAGCATGTGCTTTTTCTTATCCAAGCATCTTTATTTTTTATTTTTTAAATTTATGCATACAGAACTGGGGTATAGGTCAGAGGTGGTGAGAGGATTCACCAGAGACAGAGTGGGGAGCAGAACAGGCAGATTGACAAAGTACACTGCTGAGGGGAACAGCAGGTGGGTCAGGAGAGGTCTGCTACGCCATGTGGATCACACCTGGGGCAGGGATCGAACTCTTGCTGAAGTGGCTTTAGCTCCTTAGTGCTGTGCTTTAGCCTTCTGCGCCACTAGGGAGGGCCCCAACCATCTTTATTATCTCGTCCCAGCATGGTCATCTTTTTGTCTTTTTTTGTTCTAGTAACAGTACAGCTTATGAGCTGTGGGTCCCCACCATATTTTACCCATCCACAGGGGATGGTGAAACACTGTATCTGGGATTCCTAACTTGGTAGAGCTGGGGAGCTAACACAGCCTGTACCAGCAAGGGACTCCGCCCTTTAGTCACAATCTGGAGTTGGTGGGTGGTGGTGGTGGGGGTCTCTGGACCATGGAGCTCAAAATTCCTGCCCTGTGTGGTGACTGTTGTCTTTAGAGGCAACAACTACTAAATGTTTCAGGCTGAAGTTCTGCACCAAGGGGAAGTTGACAACATTATCTTTATGTGTGTTTTTCTTAAACAGAAGGGAATTTTTGAATATGATCACCGTATATAATAAAGAAGTCCGAAAATGTACTATTTGCGCAATACTATTATCTCCTTCAGTCCTTATTCAGATTTCATGTCCCCCCCCTGTTTTTTATAATGACATATTTTTTCCTTAAACCAGAAGTCAGGCTCACACATTGCACTTTATTGTTATGTCTTCTTTGTGTGCAACCAGTCTCTCAGTCTTTGTGTTTTCCTGACTGTGACATTGTTGATAAAAGCAGGCCAGTCATTTTGTAAACTGACTCAGTTTGTGTGTGTGTCTCATGTTTATACATGGTTCTATTCAGGTTACCAAGTTTTTGATAGGGCTACGATAAGAGTGATGTTGATCCTTCTTAGTGTGTGAATGAGGA